GAGTTATAAACTTGCAATTGGGGGGAAAACAAATAAATAAATAAAGTCTCAATTGCTTTTTTTATCCTAAGGCAGAAACTGGCTTCCATAGATAAAAATATTCAACTCTATAGGATATCAATAAATATTCGCCAGCTATGACAGTGTGCTGGATCTAAAGTATTCATGTCTCTTCACATCACATAACCAGAAAATTTCCATTTAGCCTCAAAAAGGTGTTTAGGTGACAAAAACAGGTCCTTGTGTGAAACCATTTAGATGTTGCTCAGAAAAATAATTGCTTTTCCTGTTATGAGAGTGAAAAGAGATTGTGTTGTTTGTCTAAATTGCTGTTGAGAAGATGCTCTTGCCATAGACTACAATCTTTAAAATAAATAAGGCATATAATGGACAAACAAAAAAGAGGACAACTGAATGATCACTTGAGTTACACAGCTTTAAAGTGGTGTAAAGTCTCATTTAAAAATTTTTTTTAATTAAATTAAAACCAGTAAAAAAAAAAATTAAACCAGGAAATGAACAGTTTTTAAAATAACAGTTTTTGAATAAAAAAAGAACTTAAAATAAAACTGAAACACTATGACATGAATTTAATTTTAAAATATTGATGTTTCAGAACTATTTCTAGTAAGCAAATTTGTCACAATGACCATGTACAAATTTCATACTTTCACATGATCCTGCTGACATTTATTATAGAATACTACTATTATTTTTTACAACCAAACTCTGTTGTGAATGTTTGCATCTAACATGTCATATGAACAATTAGTTCGTAAATAGACTGATGTAAGTCTATCACAGTAACAATTAATGGTTCAGTACTGACATAACTGAAAAATACTCACGGAGTTCAGGTGTGAGTTGATTCATTGACCATGTGAGTCTGATTCAAACCGCCAAATGAAAAACCCAGTCCGGGACAGTTCTGTGAATGTTCTGAACTGAGTTAAAACAAAGAAACCTGTTCACAAGAATCTTTTTTTTTTCCGCAAATTACAAATTGTGACCCACGCATTCTAATATATGAATAAACTGTATGTGGACATGCACAAATCTTTCTCAGCTGCTTTTTAAATTCTTATTGCAAATTTAATTGTTTGATATTATCTTGCTAGAGCTGAGCTTCCCAAACTTCAGCCCCCCCCCCAAAAAAAAACAAAAAACAAAAACATAAATTTAAAAAATTAAAAAAAATTAAAATAAAATCAGCAAAATCTCCAAAAGTTAGTTTTGACATATTTCAAACTGATATTATGAGAAAAACATTTCAGAAAATGTTAATTGGATTGATTTAGCTTGGGCCATGGGTGCCCTGTTATATCTCTGTGGCCCACCAGGGGCCCAAAATTTCAGAAGCTCATTATGTCCAGCAGAAAATGGCGATTTGTGAAAAAAAAAACTCATATGAACCACTTTAGCCATAGACTTGAGACCTGAAAAGACATACCAAATATTAAGACTTAAAATTAATTTCAATCCCACACATAAAATGTTCCCACACAATTTAATTGAACTTGTAATGAGAAATTATTTTTAAAAATTAAGAAAAATATATAAATATAAGCATTTTTACTAGTGGTATCAGAACTTTGGACCTCACTGCACCTTAAAGGGAAGCATGTGATGCCTGAACATTGAAGTTTTAGGGATGTTGTGAATGGCAGATGTGTCCAGTCTATCACAATAAGGAACATCATACTTTGAGCATTACAGGAAGTGTAGGTTTAAAAATGCACATGTGTTCTTCTGAGCTATGGGAACATTAAATAAAAAAATGGGACATTAAAAGTGTCGACTGACAGTGTCAGCAAAAAACTACACCCATCACTCAAGTTTTTAAAGAGTTGTTGAACATCATGAATCCATTACAACCGCAGGTGTATATAAAGCATAAAGTTCTGATCAGCAGTGGTGTTTGCAGTATCGAGATGTCACTTCATACACATACAAACAAGTCTCCTCATGCATATTTAATAGTTCAACTGAACAAGATGGCATCCCAAGGAAAAGACGGATATATTCAGAACAACATGCTGTTGTCAGGGTTGGAGTGCTATGAAGCAGCACATGTCCAGGGGCTCATGGGAGTTATCTGTCAGATCATCTTATCACACAGAGATGGACAGGACAAGGTCATCCAGCTATCACCTCTAGACATATGTTAACCCGTCGGCACCAGCTGTTTGAAAGAATGCCTGACTTTTCCCACCAACCCAAACTACATGAAGAACCTTCACAAGCTGTATTCATAATCCACAGAGAGGAACTCACTCGCAACTGAGGGAAAAGACTGGGAAACTTTGCAGAGACACTGTTTAAGTCAGCACAAACTGTAAAAAATAGGGTGTTTGTAAAACTTACAAAGCATAAAAAGAGCAGTTTCTATGACTCATAGATTTAAATATAATTTATTTTAAAATTATTTTAGTAAATGTATAGACTGAATTTAAAATTTCATAATGGCATAACTTAAAATCGGATGTTAATATTTTAAATACATTTTTCAACCATTTTAAGAACCATTTTAATGGAGTATTGGTTTCTTTAAATTAACTTTAAAAAATTACTTTTAAAGACTACATGAAAATATTTAACTGTTAATATTTAGACTGTTTGTTCTGCCTCTGGATATATAGTCCAATCAGCGTCAAATCACAGCCGTGCCGATGTACAACCATATCGCACTGCTACTCGTGTGATATTGCTCATACAGTCAGGTTAAGGCGACTGGTATAGTGGTCTGTTGGCTCTCTGTGTGGTCCTGTTTGGTATTCCAGCTTTGACTTGTAGTTATAGAAAATGCTCTAAACAAATGTAACATTAATTTTTTTATTTTTCCTTACAGTTTTTACTGTTGCACTGTATACATAAATTGTGAATTATGAAAATTAAAAAATGTTTTAATTTTTCTTAAAAATTCTTGCAGAAAATATAGTTTTGTGAGAATCGTCCTCACATGTAATCTCGAACTTGGTTTATTTAAAATGTTTCAACTCTTGATATTTTTGGTTTTGATACTGGGATAAATCATACTGGGATGTATGCTAAAATTGTTGGATGTGGCGCCCTACCTGAAATGTTTTCCACCAGCCGCCACTGCTTAAGATGAGTATATGTAGAGCAGTCGTGGCCTAATGGTTAGAGCGTTGGACTTGTAACCTGCAGGTTGCAGAGTGCTCTCTTCCACCCTCAATACCACGACTGAGGTGAGACCCTTGAGCAAGGCACTGAACCCCCAACTGCTCCCTGGGTGCGGCAGCAATATGGCTGCCCACTGCTCTGGGTGTGTGTTCACGGTGTGTGTGTTCACTACTGTGTGTGTGTGTGCACTTGGATGGATAAATGCTGATAAATGCATTGGTTAAATGCAGAGCACAATTGAAGTGACGTGTGACGCCACATGTCACTTCACTATTACTTCACCATTTAAAATAAATACACAATAAATAATTGAGTTAATTAAGTTTATTGCTATACGTTCTATAAGAAAATAATATTTCAGTATTTCTAATTCAAAATGTCACATTTAATTCAATATGTTACTTACAGAATTTTGTAATTATTTGTAAAATTTACTAGCAAGTACTGATTGAAAACTGAAAGTTATTCCTGAAAGTTGTTAGAACTTTTTAATAGTATATATAGCAACAACAAACCAATACAATCAAGAAAATCTTAGTTATATGTCAGCATTATTTACTTGACTCATTTTTACAGTCCAGTAAATTCACCAACATTGCAATGAACCAACAGATGTGTTCTTCATTTCATGCTATTTGTCGTACGTTCTTGAGGGCCCCGTACATGGACTTGTCAGTGAAGAATAAGAGAAAAGAGGCCGCGATGGGATTGAAGGAACCCTTGATGCTGAAGAGGGAAAGAGGGAAGTGCAATTTGAAATATTTGGTGGTAATCAGCTCTCTTTGATATGAAGATACCAGCATGTGGAGATTTTTTTTACATGTCTACACAGCAGCCCACTGATGGGCACTTCAGAGAGCCCACACGTTGAACTTCAGACGTGGATCTCACTCAGTCGCATGACCTCAGTGATTTGCCCTGGCATTTAATGAAGCCCCTCGGTCCAAAGAAAGTCGGTTCAATCGCCTCCACACCCCCTCATAAATATTTATCTCATCAGTGACAAAAGGACTTGCGACACAAACAGAGAGAGAGAGAGAGAGAGAGGGAGGGGGAGCAGTTCTCAACTTATGGCACTAAGAATCGAGCAGAAAAGCAATAATAATTTTTCATTATATTTGGTACAAAAATTGATATATACAGTATGTGTATATACTCTATATATGTGTGTGTGTGTGTGTGTATTGCCCCCCGCCCCAAAATAAAATATTTATATATTATTGCAAATTTAAAATAACAAAAATAAAAAAACTATATTCAAAATGTAAACATATTTTGTAACAGACTATTACTTTGTTGAAAACAATTTTAAAAAACTTAAAACTTTGTTTATATACAAGTTTTAGTCAAAACCTGACTTATTTCAAATCTGAGCACTTGCAACAGTGGAAATATACAAAAATATAATGCACCAAACAAATAACCTATATTTAAATCCTTCAGCCAAGGTCCAAAATCCACTGTATTGTGTAACTTAATCGCAGGTTAGATCCACTAACCACAGCTGGACATGTAATGGACGAGGATCAGACATGAGAGTAAACAGCTAATTTTCACAAAAGTTCATGGCCACTGTGTCAAATGCATTATGAGGTTTCAGAACTCATCAGAGGTATTTAATAAGAGCATACATTAAATGGACATTAAATACTTAATAGGCATAGAATGCTGTGTGCAAGGCCACTTAATCAAGGCCTAAAAAGGAAAGCAATTTCCATATTCAAAACTTATGCCCCAAGGTCACGCTATAAACCTCTCTGGAGATGTCCTTTGGCAACTGTCACAGAGGCAAGAGTTCACACAATGAAATTTCATCCAGCCGTGATAAAAGAGAGGATACTTCTGAAATACGATAGATGGACTGCAACTATTAATGCACATTTTTAAGATAATAGCACACTTTCAGAGATAAAAAGGGCAAAGTAGTCAATTAAATCATATTTATAATCCATTTTCATTGGAGATAATAAGAATATATGACCTGTTAGAATGCATATGCCAATTACTCATATCCAAAAGCTCACTCCAATTACGGCTCGTGGCACAACGGATACAGAAGAATACAAATCAGTTTCCTGCATTTTGTTAATCAGCATGACCCCACGCCTCGCTTTAGCACAAACACACTGTAATGATTAGCAAGTGGAAAACAATTATGAAATTATTTCACAGCCTAAAGACAAGAGTCAGCATCTGTATAGGTCAATCTGTCTAAACGTATTTGACAATGGAAGCTCACAGATGTGTTTTAAATGTGCTCTTTGGCCCAAGAACATATTGAAAATTATGATGTTTGTTTTTTTTTTTTTTTCACATTGCGACTGCAAATGTGACTGAAGTGAAAATACTGCAAAACTAAAATCCTTCTTCCCATTAAGCAAATAATGATAGGTTTGGCTTCATTGACTTCTTATTATGCACCTAATTTGCAACCCTCCTAATTGGCTGCCCTAAGAAACACTGAAAAATGTAAATGGAATGACTAACAGGGTAACTGCTCATCACTGAATCACTTTCAAGATAATTAGAACACTTCTATCAGCATGTTCATTGGCCCTGAAGAAAGTGTAGCTAAATCTGATAACCACTCACAGAAGAAATGGTCCAGAGTTTCACAATTTGAGTTGAATTACTCAAATAAATGAACTTTTCCACGACATTCTAATTTATTGAGATGAACCTGTGTATATATATATTGAAATGACTACTACAGTATAGACTGGCATTCAAAACAAAAGTACTGTAGGAATCATTTTAAAATAGTTTTCATAAAATGGATCATTCAGACTCTAAATTTAGATTGTATAAGCCATATTTGAAGCTGTAGTAAAATGATAAATAAAAGCTAAATATTTAAAAAGATAAATTCACATAAACTCCCACAGTTGGGATAATGATTAGTCTATACTAAGTAGAATTGTTTATTTAGATTACTGTAAAGCTCAGCAGGAAAAGCTAATCCGGAAAGCTAATTTTCCTTAGGAATGTACCTATGGGGGTTTATTTACTTTCATGTTTTGCTCTACAACATAAATTACTTTAAATGTTAATTTTAAAGGTTTTTCTTTTAAGCACAAGTTGCTAAATAAGGACTATATATACTTTTTGATTAATCAAAACTTTACTTTTGTGGGAGTTGTAGTCTTTATGTACTTTATGATCTTAAATATTGCTAAACTTACATTGCTAAAACACAGCTGCAAAATTCACATTTTGACAGTGATAAATGTTAAAGTAATGCCTACTCATAAACAAATCATTAATCCATCATTAACATGTTTTAACTTTAAACATTGCCTTTGGCCAAAATATGAGTCCATAATCCATAATAACACTTCCTCCTGTTATCCTCTCACATCAATCTCCACTGACATGCTTGTTTAGAACTGATCTGTGCATATTTCTCTCCTGATTCGGACAAGATTACTTTTTCACTGGAGAATGTAATATTATGGATAGAAGACTCATATTTTAGACTCATTTTTTAGCCAGGAGCAACGGTTTGAAGTTAAAACCATCTTAATGATGAATTTGTTTATTATAAAGACGCTGTTTTTCTCTTCACAAGATGTTAATTGTGGATTATTGTGATGTTTTTATCAGCTGTTTGGACTCTCATTCTGACGGCACCCATTCACTGCAGAGGATCCATTTGTGAGCAAGTGATGTAATGCTAAATTTCTCCAAATCTGTCTTGATGAAGAAACAAACTCATCCACATCTTGGATGGACTAAGTAAATTTTCATTTTTGGGTAAACTATTCCTTTAATAATAAACGTAAACGGAAAACACCTCACAACTGTAGTAAAATAAATACATGTAATGTCCAATACAGTTTTTCACCGTATATAGTAGGGGAATTTACCGTTAACCATTTAACAGGTTTTTACTGTAGCATTTTTACAGTCTTTTACCGTTAAATTCACGGTCATTTTTTACAGTGTAGAGAAATAAAATGTACAAAAATAATTTAGTAAGTTTTAGAGACTATCAAGGGAATTTATGTTTAGTATTTCCCTGCGGTCTGCTGTAGAAAATACATAACTCAAACAACACAAACAGTTCTCACTTGTCCTTGAACAGCTGTCAAAAATCTAATTAAGTTTTCCTGCACATGGTTTTAATATTGGTGCTTGAAAGGGTCAGAGAGGGACAGAGGGGAGCCAATAAACAAAAATTCTCAAAATGATGTAAATAAGGGCACCAAAACACATATCTGAGAGAAAGCAGGTAGCCCTGCCTCCAACAAAACCATTCATCATGACACAGTTTAATCCAGCACTTTGCCAGCTTCAATAAAAGAAGTTCACACATCACGGAAGGATTCTGTCAAAGTTTTGGTTTACCAGCCTATACTTTCAACATCACTTAAAGTATCTTGAAATGTTTTGAATTGACTCACGGTATGAAGAGCTATTGTGTTGGTGTTTATTCTAGCAAACTCCAAAAAAACTGTTAAAGCCACTGGGATGAAGATACTCACAAACCATGTAATTGTTCTTTTCCTCTGGGGACTGGACTATTTTTAAGGTGTTAAAGTCGGTGGACTCATGGAGCGTTTGAGTGATCAGGGGACCATAAACTAGCTCACACAGCTTGATATGCTGAGATTGACCAGCATCATCAATGTCTGGCCAGATCAAGTGTAAACCGAGAAAGCCCCATGAGGTTGAAAGGAAACAGGATTCAGTGGATGTCTTTTGACTCGAGTCAGAGTGTCCGTCAATTCATTATATTGACCAGATATTGTAAAACCCATAATTTGATATATAGAAATTATATTGAGAATGTATGTTTTTATTTAAAATAAACATTTATTCATTTATTTATTGTTTTGCAAACCGACTCACCAAGATATGCTTGACACTAAGGCTGCATTTGTTTAATAATAATAATTAAAAAACAGTATAAACAGTAATAACGTGAAATATTACAATTTAAATAGTTTTCTGTATTAATATATTTTAATGTGCAATTTATTTCTGTTATGGCAAAGTTGAATTTTCAGCAGTCATTACACCAGTCTTCAGTGTCACATGATCTTTCAGAAATCATTCTAATATGCTGATTTGCTGCTCAAGAAACATTTATTATTGTTATCAATGTTGAAAACAGTTGTGCTGCATAATATTATTTGTGGAAATAGTGATTATTAATTAATAAATGTATTTACTCTTTGATGAATAGAAAGTTCAAAATAGCAGCATTTATTTGAAATAGAAATCATTTGTACCATCATAAATGCATTCACTGTCACTTTTGACCCATTTAATCCTTCCTTACTGAATAAAAATATGAATTTCTTTCAATATATATCTTAATGACTCCAAACTTTTGAACAGTAGAACAGTAATTTATTAAAAAATGATATTATAATATTCAAAACAAGACAAAAGTTATATTTATTAATAATAAATATTATCAGCTTTACTTTGATAATTACCTAAATGAACAAATAAGCATTCTGAATCACCTTAAACATACGAAATGCTCCCGTTTCCACTCATTTCACCCAGGTCTGCATGCAGTGTGTTATCACTCTGTCTGGTATGAACGACTGTACCGCTACTGCGCTCACATGAGTGAATATTGATTTGGTCTTCTGTTCTTTCCCTCTGGTGCACGTCACATCCACTCACCGCCTCACTGAGTGATGTGGTCGACGCCATTCAACTACCTGAGATACAGATGCCCAAATCAACAGATCTTTAATCATTTCTCCAATGGACCACACGCATCTGAACACACTGACTACAAACCACTCTCAGACAATAAACACAGCCTCCAGAATATAAAACAGTCCAATATTAGCTATAAAAATAGACATTTAATGCAAGAATTTATAAGAGAACTGAGGTTAGAAATTATCGAGGCACTTCACATGCGCTTCAGCCTGGCCTTTGCTCAACCGACAAGTGATAGATGTCGTCGTTTAATCAGGAGGACTGCTTTATACCTGCTCACAGTCCCATGACTCACCATTCTGCCGTCATTTCTGGAAGGAAGTCCACACAGATCACCAAGATAAAAGGCTTGAATCACAGGTGTAATTTTCTGTGCTGAAGGGGACACAAACCCCATATTATACAAAAGAACACTCTTGAAAAATCGACATGCGTCACCTATATGCTACATGCTGGCAACTTACTTTTGCCGCAACAATGCTTCGATAATTTCAATTTGCTGCACAAACTGTTTTGTGGAGAATGGGCTCCAGAGTTGTGACATGACAGATAACAGATCATTCTCTCAAAGACAGACGTAGTGCACACAGCTGTTATTGTGGCGGTATGAGATGACTGCAATCAAACCGAGAGAAGACCTGTCATTTTCGACAGCTGAGGGTGCTCTTACCTTGCCCTTTGGCTGATTGATGTCATCACAGATGATGATAATGAATGCCAACTAAAAAAACTAGTAGTATCTATTAGCATTGGCTCCAGCCATCTCTTTTGAGTTTTTGCTTTTTTATTTATTAATTTTTTTGTATTGGAAGAATATAAATATGTAATTTTCCCATTTCCTTTATCAACACTTTTCTCTGCAATAATTTTTTTTATTATTATTTTAAATTATCCAATTATTTTAAGGTCGAAAACTTTCAAATGTCAGCCCTAGTATTAAAATAAGCTTAAAAAGTCCCAGACAAAAGGATTAAAATTATTTTAATTAAAATTATTGTAAAGTAGAAAAAATTCAAATGTCAGCCCTAGTACTAAAATAAGCCTTTAAAAATCCCAAAGAAAAAAAAAAAAACATTTTCCTGCATGAAAAAAAAGATAGAATTATTAAATTATTTTGTCTGCCTTGGTATTAATATTAATATAACTAATATTAATTATATTATAATATTAAAATAAGCCTTAAAAACATATACATACAATTATTTTTAATTATTAAATCATTTTAAAGTTGAAAACTTTCAAGTGTCAGCTCTAATATTAAAATAAGCTTTTTAAAAATTCCATGAAGATTCCAAAATTTTCCCTGCAAGAAAAAAATTGCCGGTGTATTACAACAAAGTCACACTGAAATTCTTTTAAGTTCAAAGAGACTTCTGAAATCACTGTTCCAGTCTCCTCTGCCAATTATAAGAGTAAAATAGAAAGAGAATACCCTTGGGAAACAATACGCCAACCTACAGATTGTTAAAAAAAAAATCTTAAATTAAGATTTCTGTCATTTCTCGGCAGGTCTTTCTAACATGTTGCTTTTTCGGCGTTTGACGTAAGCATTGCCCCACAACTTGAGGACAAGAGGCTTTGTTGGGTTTAACTCTAAATTTAAGACTGTCACCGCCAATCAGAGCGAAATTTAATTGATAGATATAGCTCTGTAGCATGATAAACCAGACTGACAGTTTATCCAAGAAAGCCTAATTCATCTCTCCTAAGCCTCTTCTACTCAAAAGAATGTTTATTTCTTTATTTATTTCCACATTCAGCAGTAGAACTATTTGGATCCAAAGCAAAATCAGAGACAAGCTGCTATGCTGATGTTTGCCTGGCCAGCTTTGGGAAAAAAATCTTAAATTAAGATTTCTGTCATTTCTCGGCAGGTCTTTCTAACATGTTGCTTTTTCGGCGTTTGACGTAAGCATTGCCCCACAACTTGAGGACAAGAGGCTTTGTTGGGTTTAACTCTAAATTTAAGACTGTCACCGCCAATCAGAGCGAAATTTAATTGATAGATATAGCTCTGTAGCATGATAAACCAGACTGACAGTTTATCCAAGAAAGCCTAATTCATCTCTCCTAAGCCTCTTCTACTCAAAAGAATGTTTATTTCTTTATTTATTTCCACATTCAGCAGTAGAACTATTTGGATCCAAAGCTGCGGTATGGTGGCGCAAAATCAGAGATAAGCTGCTATGCTGATGTTTGCCTGGCCAGCTTTGGGAGGTGGCATTATCACCCACTGCTGTGGCACACGTATCACAAACACACTTCAACCTTCAGAAAGCAAAGCTTGTTATCTGTCGAACATTCATGCCGCTTTTGAGTATAGAACAGTAACCTCAATTTACACGCTGGGCCTAAAGATATTTGTTTGGACATGACATAAGGGTTCTTGAAATCTTTGGTTTAAAACATCATAGGAAGGTTGGTGAGACAAGAGTTCCAATTTGTGGAGAAGTACACCTTTTAAATGAAAGGAACTGCTTTTGATCTTAAAAATAAGCCAAACACTTTCATCTATGGGATGTGACTGAAATCCAGAACTTTTATTTACCCGTTTGTGTCACCCATTTCTGTAACTCAGCTAAATGTTATGAAATTACCAATCTGCTTTAGATTGTGGGCTCTTTTGAGAGAGCTGAGAATTAGAAAAGTGACTTGATTCTAGATCAGAGGTTTTTGAACCTTTTGATGCCTAGGACCCCCAAAAAAGATGAGTTCACTGCAAGGAACCCCCTTCTTAAAATATAATAAATGCAGCCTTGCTATAAGCATAAAAGCATTCAAAAACCAAAAAAAAAAAAGTATAGATAGATGGATGGATTTTTATTATGACGTGACATGTGGCCAAGTATGGTGACCCATACTCGGAATTAGTGCTCTGCATTTATCCCATCCAAAGTGCACACACACACCGTGAACACACACCCGGAGCAGTGGGCAGCCATTTTTGGCTTCAATACCACAGTCGTGGTATTGAAGGTGGGAAAGAGCGCTGTACATTCACTCCCCCCACCTACAATCCCTGCCGGTACGAGACTCGAACCCGCAACCTTTGGGTTACGAGTCCGACTCTCTAACCATTAGGCCACGACTTCCCCATATATAATTAATAAACTAATGTGGTTAATCTTGTGACAATTTTATTATTATTTTATTTATTCATTTACATTTTTACATTATTTTCTCTAAACCTTTCCCCATTTTTACATGATTTTCTCTGAATCTTTCCACATCCAAACTTTGAAATGTTCATTTCTGATTGCATCAAGGAACAGCACAGAGGTGTTGCAGCAGTATCTTGAAGTATGCATTTTGTCCAAATTTCTAAAAAAAACAAAAAAAAACAAATACTCATTATCCTGTCCTGGAGGCAAATGCTCCATTTCTGTCAATTCCAGCTGCCCTGAAAATCTTGATGTTTACCGTGGCAGATACAGAGTGGCACATGGCTGGCTGTAGTAGAGAAAAGAACAAGGAATAGATTACTGACCATAATAGTGCACACTAAGGAAAGCTTGAATGTATTTACTCAGCTATCTAATTAAAGCATTGATAAAGGATCATCTATGACCCTCATCCAAGATGCATGAAAGAGGATTCCACTGCTAACTGGAATCCACATTCCTCTGTGTGATCTATTTAGCTATTGTAATAATGAAAACTTCAATATTGTGCCTTCTCAGCAAGAGTTAAAGATACAGCATGGATCCATTTAACAGTTTTATTATGGATTCTGAACCTAAAGCAATATTGACCTGTCCATGGTCAAAATGAAATCAAAGAGTCCATACTGGAGCACATTGTGGTGAGGGAATCAACCCCCCAGCAACAATGATCTTTGTCAGTATACAGTATTGCCTCCAATGCTTTGAGAATAAAAAAGAACAAAACACGTCTATTTTCTGAATAGAAAGTGTTACAGTGTCCCTGCAATTTCTGCTATCAGACTGACAGAAAAAAAGCCATTCCTAGCGAACAATGTCAGGACTGTGGTTTAATGAGAGACGCTGATTCATCTATGGATTCTTGGCAGTGCAACCGAATTAAAAAGAGATAGCTTTGTAGGTGCTTAAAGACTATCTGTTTATACTGAGATATCTGTAGACACATGATGTCCTGCCTGCTTTGAAAGTCTCAGGTCTGGATAGAATTAGCAAATAATAATAATAATAATAATGAAGACTCGCATTATCTGCACTTTGATAATGAGATGAAGTTTATTAAACCTCCAAAATATTGTTTGCAGCAAGGCATAAGTTACACCACCCCCTGTTTTTGTTGTGTATATCTATGTATCATCACATATGCATTAATAGGTGTGCAGTCAGTCGGTTGACAGAGTGATCTCTCCAGCTGCTGTAAAGGCAGAGACAGCATCTGCTTAAATCTTAATCAAACAGCACCATCTCACTGGATTTAAGTTGGTATCAAAGGCTTATTTCAAATGCAGGTGCTTCGCTGGACAGAGGGTAATTATCCCCATTATTCAAATGGCACAAAGGCGGCCCTTTCATATTTCATAGCCTTTTTGTTTTGTTGCCGTCCCTAACGCAAGTGTGCACTTTTCTTCCAGCGCCACACAAAGGGCTTGATTCTGTTTTCCTTCTCCATGCTCCTGTTTTTTCCTCTACCAGAGAGGGCTAAGATCTCTGTTTTGCAAACCGATTCACAGCAATCAGGGTCCCTGGCGATTAATTAGGCTGTCTGCTCAAAGCAAGGTGTGTCCATCACAGCAGGTCAGCGTCACCTAGTTCTGCAGCGTCCATATCCATACATACACAATCATAAACAACCACACTAATCTCCAGTTTCAAATGCATGGCAGAAAAAGAGCAATAGACAGCTAGACAGCTACCATTTATAGATGATGGATGGATGGATGGATGGATGGATAGATAGATTCTTGTCGATTCTGATATTTAGGCAGTGTTGGGGAGCAACTAGTTACATGTAACGGAATTACGTTTTAAGGGGGTCTGAATACTTTCCGTACCCACTGTATATGCTTTATTATAATTTTTTAAAGATTAACAGTTTTTTTCCCCAAAGCATTGCTAGATGCCAGTGTTACTTGTCATGGCTATGCAAATATTTTGATTTCAAAAAGCTAGTATTAAACTATATCTTATGATCATAAATCTGTATTTAACCGCAGAATGATCTCAAAGTAAACATAGCTGCTAAAGTCTGATTTTGTGGTGGCTGTGCTTTAAATTAAATAATTATCTTAATTCAAGTGAAGAAGGATTTTGAAAGTCTGATACTAACTAGTGTTGAGTCCTACTGTAAAGTTAACCGTGACTGCTTTAAATGTTTGAAAATTAAAATAACATTTGAAAACATTTGTTAAAATTTTTGAAAAGTAATCAAAAAATATTGAAATGTAATCAGTTACATTACTTTAATAAAGTAATAGAAGTTACACTACTATTACATTTTAAATAGGGTAACTTGTAATCTGTAACCTATTACATTTCCAAAGTAACCTTCCCAACACTGTATTTAGGCTACTTAGTTTGTTTATATTAATGTATCATATTGGTAGAAAACAGTTTCTTTCTTTCTTTTACTTGTATGTTTTTTGTGTAATTTTCTTTATTTAACCTGAGCATAGGTCACATGACCATATCCAGCAACACACCTAAAATATTTAAATGGCCACTCGAATTACATTGACATTTTCATTTTAAATTCTGTTTTTTTCCCCTTTTTGTGCTCTTGTTTTATTATAGATCAGTGTGTACACCATATACATGGTACAAAGCTATTGAGAATACAGTAAGAAATACTGTAAAACTAAATCTACAAAAAAAACATACTGTACACAGCAAGAAACTGTCGAGAAAACAATACTAGGTAGGTAGGTAGTTGATAGATAGATAGATAGATATGCATATATACACAAAAAGTATTTTAGTAGAAAACAAAGTATTTCAAGCCACAATTCAAAGACATCTTACAAAACAATGGGGGAATAAATGTATAAGATCTGATACTTATTAGCATCAAATGGCTCTGTATGTGATAACTGAGTGTGGGAAGAGAAGGCTCAGTGCCAATTTCTGTCTTGCATATCAGTGTTACTATGTGTGAGATTGCCACTAACATTCACAACTGGTCTGCTTCAATTCTGTGACAGGAAATAATGCGTGTGCGTGCGTGCGTGCGTGCGTGTGTGTGTAGGCTACCTCACAGCGACATATGCTTCCATCCGTCATATGAATCTCACCTGAGCAGTGAGCACTCCGAATTAGCGCAAAGCTTGTCAACACACCACACAGGCCATGTCGGGGGAAATGAGCGATGCAATGATGAGCAGTCGACATTTTAGTTGTCTACAGAGAGAATTCTTTATCAGTTTGACTACGATTTGGCAAACCATAATGGAGACAAATTGGCGTTCGAGAAAAGGTGAAGCTTTGAAGGCAGCGCCCCCTGTTGGATAAGATTCTTTAATACATGTGGAAAGAAAGAAAGAAAGAAAGAATGAATGAATGTGGGGTCCTGTAGATGCTCCTCAGAAATGTGTTATGCATGATGCGCAATTGTCAGATGATATCTGATCTTTTTGACTTTCATTTCTTTTAAGTGGCTTTACAGTGACGTCAACCACGACGCCTGGGGCACGTTCAAGGTCAAACCGGTGCGCAACATTTTGCTACGGTTTCGGGGTTGAACAACACGTTTCCTGGAAACGGTGTGCAATGGGGTTTGAGATACGTTTTCTCTTGTTTGGTGGGTGTGTCAAAATGTCAGCCCAATCAGCAGCAACATGTATATAAACTAAGCGGCATTAAAGAGACAGCTGGCACAATGTAATTAACATCAAAATAAATTCACAAGAGCAAGTATATTGTTTGCACATGATTATTTACATTAAAGGCAAAATAACTGAAATAATAAGAGCACAAGTATAGATCTCAGAACAGGGTGTTCAACGCACCACCGTTTCCGTTTAAAAAACGTTTTGCAACGTTTTGTCGGGGCTGAACGCAGCCCTGAGGTATCAGCAGACCTACATATTATTTAGCAAACTGAAATGTCTCTATCATTCTTATTACTCCCTTTAATTTCTCAATCAAGATTCTGACTGTATGATTCTAGAATGCAAACATTATCCAAAACATGACTGGAAATATTCGCACAGGTTCAAAATAAGTTAGGCCTACTTCTTTTTGGTCTGGAGGTAATAGGCCTACATTTAATAATTCATTGCTCATATGGTAGGCTATAAGGTCACGAATTGCTAATGCTGAATTAAAAAAAATCATTTTATAAAAATAATGATAAAACATTTTATCATGTTGTATTTATTTAACATACCGGTCGTTAAATACAATAGACCTATATAAATATTAAATATGTTTTATATTTAGGCTACATGAATACGTCGCCCCCTTATGAAGAGACAGGTTTACCTGGAGTCGATAACAATCATCCACAAGAATATTGTCATAACATGCTGTAGCCTAATTTGTAAAATCAAGTAGCCTAGCCTAGCCAAATGAGGCGGTAACATATCAAAAATGTTTGCTGTTACAATAATGTGGAGATTTTCAATGACATAATTACTATGTTCTTCTGATAGAATGAAAAGACAGAAACAAATTGATTTCCTCTATTTTCATTCAAACTGAGATAATCCAGCAGTCAGGGTTTTTTTTCTCCTTTTAATCAAAGTGACATTGATGAACAAATGTAGTCCACTAATATTATTGTTTAAGTACATTTTCAAAAGGACCTCCAATACACTGCGCTCTAGGAGAAGAATTAATGTTTTCACACCTTTTAACGCACAAAAGACTGTTGGTTTCGATACACAACGACCCAGGGACATGTATCCCTTTATGGATCACAGGGGCACATCAAAGACCCAAAGGACCTCACAGACCATCAAAAGACTGCAAGTTTCTATAAGTGAACTTCGATGGCCAGCCAACACTCATGAAGTTCACTTTCCAGAGGACGGTGTAGGAGAAGGATCTCAGGGACAGTCTTCCTCCTCAGCGTGGTGGATCATAACCTAGGTTTGACATGAGGCGGTTTGCCTGCGTTGCCTGCGGGGTCTTGAGCGCAGTTCTCGCGCTCTGGGTCGGTCTGGTGAGCTCCACGGCGTCGTTTCCTGGATTCCACGAGGCGTTCAGGAGTAGGATGCGAGCACCTGGAAAGAACGGCGGAGGTCAGGAGGGTCACAGCCGACATACGAACAGATATCCGCTGTATATGCTGCACCTCTACCGGACCTTTCTAACGGGAGACGACAAACATATGAGCCATGAAAATCCAAATCTTTACGAGTCCGATTCGGTCTTGAGTCTCGTTGCCAAGAGTGAGTATGCATATTTTTTTATTATTATTTTTAAATTCATTTTAAACATTTTATTTTAACGTTTTACAATAGCCAATAGGTATTTTGTTTACTTTTTAGACATTTTAGATGTTAAGAATGATATATGCAATTGAATAAAATTTATATTATTAATAAATTAAGATGAAATATATAAGGGACATTTTATGTTTTTTTTTTTTGCACGGTCAGTCGCTGCATTCACTGGTCATTCATCGCAAATGATGACTGTTGTATAGACTAACTGTATTCTTACAGAACTCGTGTTACCTCCACGAGTAAAAAAAAAGAAGAAGAAATTATTTAAAACAATGCTTTATTTACATTTATTTGTTTGTTTAGTTAGTAAGTAGCCCTGTGTTAAGTGGCAATATGTAAAGTCACCCGCCGGTCATTATCGCAAAACAAATCTCTTTAGGTTTATACAAAACCCCCGGGGAAAATAATTTGATAGGTAGTTTAGCTGGTTCTAGGCTATTAGCCCAGTCATGTATTATGCTTATTAGTTAGCGTGTGTATTAGCTTCAAGACGTCTGTTTCAAAGTGACTTGGGCAGCAATACACATCTAAACAATAAGAACATTCTACTTTATTAACTGCTTGTCCCGAATGTGGCCATGTGTGAAAACATCTTTCAAGATAATTAAGCACCACACATCACTTATCCTTTCTAGAACGTTTAACTGTCTGTCCTTTGACCAGTCACTAATTTCTTGTCCATATATTTTTCAGGTTGCCATCAGGTTGGTGACAAACTAGCCGTGACATTTGACATGTCCTCCATATCAGCAAGCGACAAGGTCCAGCGGTCTGAGCTTCGCATTCGCCTTCCAGAATTCGCCTCTGAGATGGAGGTGGACATCTATCACGCATTCAAACGTGAGTGCGACCGAAGCCCCTGCGACAAAGTAAGGATTCACCTTGGCACTGTGAAAGCCAAACCAATTGACTCAACCTCCCATTCCTCCTGGAGGGTCTTCAACATCACAACGCTGCTCAAGTACAGGTTCCACCAAGATGAGAGCATGTTCTCAGAGGAACCCATTCAGATGCCTGCAAGATCTGAGGGCGAGGGGCATGAGAACGTCCAGCATCTGACAGCCAATAGGGTCATGATGGTGGTTTACTCCAAGCAGAACTGGGCAAAGACATCCACCCTCATCCAGACAGCAGAGCACTCCAAGTATGTAACTCTGGACCGGGCCAGTGGTGGTGGTGAACCTGTGCCTCGGCGTCACAGGAGGAACCACCGGACTGAAGACAGAGTGCGTGACGCAGCAGCCAGTTTGATTCCAGGTGTTTCGCAAGAAGAAGGGGAGAAGAAATCTCTCTGCATGAAGGTGGATATGTGGGTGGACTTCGATCAGATTGGTTGGAGCGACTGGATTGTTTATCCGAAGCGTTACAATGCCCATCGGTGTGAAGGTAGCTGTCCTACGCCTGTAGATGAGACCTTCACCCCAACCAACCATGCCTACATGCAGGTAAGAATCTCTAAATCTTTGAAATAGTTGCAATTAAAATGTTTACTCTTTGCTAGACTGACTCTAATGATTGTCGTCTTCTCATTTGCAGAGTCTTTTGAAGCTGCACCACCCAGACCGCGTCCCATGCTTGTCCTGCGTACCCACCCGTCTGGCTCCACTCTCAATGCTCTACTATGAGAACGGCAAGATGGCCATGAGACACCACGAAGGGATGGTTGTAGGAGAATGTGGCTGCCACTGAGTCTCCAAACCCAAAATGAACTCAACTCTAGCACTTTGGATATGTTCCTTAAATCCAGAAATACATACTTAAGCACAAATGAAGAAAAATTGCTTTAATTGCTTTCATGAGGTATCCTGCACTGAGGCACCTGGATTACTTAATGCTATTTTTGAAAGCTTTGTGTGTTTGCCTAATTTGTAAATAGTAGAGTTACGTAAATTAAAAAATTTAATAAAGTGTTTTCATAATGTAATAAATGTATTTTGTGTGTGTTTTTTTTTTTTTGAAAATCAGCAGCAGATGAATAAGGAAAACATAAATTCTCTGGTGTTTATTGATTTTTTTTTATGCTTAAATGTCTCTTCAGAAATAACAGGGCAGTTTTAGAGAACTTCACAGCAAAAAAAAAACAAAAAACAATATTTTACATTCTGTTGGATTACACTTTAGGTGAACATACTCATCAGGATAAACAGAAATGAGATTTTACATTACAAAAGTATTAATGCCAAATGTAAAGTGGTCAAATTCACTGATTGTGGTTTGCTAAATTTATAGGAGTTGGCATCTGGATTTCCTCCACATGATTCTTGATGAAAATATCACCAAGAAGAGAACCGTTGCTCCCTCTACTGACCATTCTCTAAAACTACACAAATCTGCATCATACAAACAGTGTCGCATGGTGGCCTGTGAGATGTCTTCCATGTCTTAGGCAGAAGTAGAGCTGCATCGATGTGCTTGGGATGCACTATCTGACATCTGAGATAGTGGCTCTTTCAGGCACAACAGTGTTAGCTGATGTCGAGAATCTAAATTAATGGCTTTGTGCGCATCTTGAATGACAGCATCAGTACAGGAAAAGAAAATATCATTTAAACAGTAGATAAATGAAAGAAAAAAAAGACAGATGACATGGAAGGAGAAGTCTTCTGTGCATTTATCCTCTCAGGGAACAGTTACCATCACAGCGATATTTGTTACAGTTGTCGCCTCCTTCGTGTAGCAGGTCCTCTGTTGTAGTTAGACATCAATTTCAAACTGGGCATCGTCCCCTTGAAATCAGAAAATGAAGATTTGTTTAATGTAGGGTGACCATACGTGCCATTTTCCCAGGACGCGTCCTGGGAAAATGGCACGTATGGTCACCCTATTTAATGTATTTTTAACCCTATAAAGCCTACTGCATTACACTTGATACGCAAATTTCTAAGCCCTCTGAGTTATCAATACAATCAAAACCTTGCTGAAAAATCTGTTGTACACAATCTACTACATGCCTTCTGTCATCAGATTGATAATTTATACTTTTTTAGCAAGTAAAAGGCCTTCAGTTCATGGTATACATGTCGTTTTGCTGTGAAATCTTTCATGATTTTTATTATGTAAACCTAAGAATACATTTTATATTGTTAGTGATATTTCAAGATGAACATTTAGACTTATTTGATTATCCCTACACCATTTTTTTTTTTTAGACAAATAGTGTTAAAAAATGTGAGCATTAAATGATACATCATTTACATACGTATAAATATTAGCAACTGCACTAAAATGCATGCTTTTGCTCAGTTTGGGTCTCTGAATAAAGCGCAGTTGTTTTTTCCTCCTCGAGTATAAGCTCCATATTTTCTTTCATCATATACAAAAAAAAAAAAAAAAAAAAAAAAAAAAAAAA